CCCTCTTCCCACCCCCATCCCCGGATTTCCACCTTGCCCCCTCTTTACCCTCCTTGTCCCCCCTGCTCCCCACCTCTCCCCCGCCCCAAACACACACACACTCCCCAACCAGGTTCATCGCTGTCACTCAGCCCATCAAGTACGCCAAGCACAAGAATTCCAAGCGAGTGTTCATCATGCTGGCGGTCACCTGGATCATCTCGGTTGCCATAGCAGCGCCTATCGCCCTGGGCGTCAACTACTCGGAGGACCGACGAGTGAGGGACTGCCGGTTCTTCAACTCTGACTTCATCATCTACTCCTCCATGGGCTCCTTCTACATCCCCTCCATCATCATGATCTTCCTCTACTGGAAGATCTACCGCGTCATAAGGCAGAGAGCGCGCAAAGCGAAGCAGGCGAAGCATCTAAAAGACGTGGATAAACGGGCGCTGCAGGGAGTGATAGAAAACCCTACGGCGGCTGCTGCCCCTTCTGTTGCTGCTGCTGCTGCTGCTGCTGCTGGAGGTGGTGGTGGGGTAGGAGGAGGAGGCGGGGCGTCGATGGGTGGGGTGTACGGAGGTCCGTCGGAGGCTACTGTGACCACTGGTCTAGCAAAGATGGACAACGGTCGCGTGACTAGCTACAACACGACCACTTCTACCACCCACCCGGCCGCCTCGTTGCTGTCTGCCGGTCCACACGGTGTAGATGAGTGCTCCGTGATGACTAATGCTCACTCACAGTCGGCTTCTGATGACGAGGATGACGACGATACTGGTAGCGGCAGCGCAAATAATAACAGTGGAGGAGGGGGGAGTGGCAGTGGTGGGAGTAGTCGAGGGGTAGGAGGAGGAAGCGGAGGAGGAGGAGGAGGAGGAGGACTTATGACGTCGGTCCGTGATAACGGACGGTTGTCCAAACACGCGGAGATGGCGGAACTCATCGCAAACCCAGTGGCTGAGGAGATCGAGAGAAGAGAAGAAGAAGAAAGAAGAGCGTGGGAGGAAGGAGGGAGGAAGGAGGAAGAACAAGCCATGCTCCAATTCGGAGGCAACAACGGAGGTTTTTCTGCCCCTGAACCTGCGGGGTCGGTCGGGGCCTCCACTTCCGGTATCATGGCGCACACATGCGCGGCGCACGAAGCGGAAACGCCGTTCACGTCACTAGTGTGTAAGGGAGACACGAGCGAGAACTCCGACCAGTGCCAGGAAGGTTCGGGGAAGAAGAAAGGTAACAACGGAAACCCCAAACGAGGTCATAAGGGGGTCACCAAATTCAACTTTCACAGACGCACTAGCCGGAAGCGAAAGGAGAAGTCTTCGTCCAAGCGAGAGAAAAAGGCGACCAAGACGCTGGCCATTGTGTTAGGTGAGAAACTTGATTGAATTTGGGTCTTTCATCTCTGCCTGGCTTGCTAGCCCTCCTCGCCACTCTTCTTCATCCTCAGTATGGCACCTTTTCCTCGCTTCCTCTGACTCTGTCTCTGTGTCTGCCTGTCTGTCTGCCTGTCTGTCTGTCTGTCTGTCTGTCTGTCTGTCTGTCTGTCTGTCTGTCTGTCTG